CTATAAAATCACAAATGGACAAATCTGAGGCAAGAAGCTGCGCTATGTCTGACACAAGTGAAGCACCATCATTAGGTAAGCACTTCTACTGTAAATAATCTTTAAGAATCTTAAGAATAATCCATAAAATATCAGCAATTTCAATGGGAATGTGACTATATGATTAATTCCATGAGAAAAATTTAGAACACAAATTTATTTGAGAAGTTCTTAAGTATAATTTGTTTTTTGAACTACAATTTAAGCTATTTTTATACGAAAATTAAATATGAAATAATTAGTTTCTTGAAATAACATTACTTTAATATTTTTGCGTGAGTAAAAATTCCCACCACATACATAACATAAGTTAGTGAGATTTTGTGGGAACTTCAGTAAGGTATATTAATTTGAAGTAGTATGATCAACAAACGCGAGTAGTTTACAAAATTTATAAAATGTTACTGAGATGACTATGGACCAAAAGTCATCTGTATACTTATTCCATTTTACTATTGACCCCCTTTAAATTTTATTCATTTTAATAATAATATGTGTTAATATATTTTCATTTTACTGATTTTAAAATAATACTTTTTGCTTATAAAACTTATCGTGCCCGACTTAATCGGAATCTGTGATCTACCCGTAAGGACGTTCCAAAGGTCCTATTGTAGAGCCTCAGTTAGTCGGAGCGTAGTTCTGAGTATTAAAACTTTTATATTTTTAATATAGCCTCTCATGTCAGACGCGTACGTGTACCATCTCAAGCATCAGATGTGGATCAATTTTTAGATGATTTATTCAATCCAGTATTAGATCAACTTTCTGACGCTAGATCATTAGCCGCTTCAATTAAAGGTTCAATAAGATGTAAATCGTATGAAGCCATCGATGACGAATCATTAGATCCTTGTGAATTTTCTACATCTATTAAAGGAGAAAATCGTTGTGTTGATGGAGTATTAGGATCAAATCATAATGCTCATGTAGATTTTGACGTCAAATTACTCGCTAAAACTATCAAGGGTGGTGGTCGAGGAGTTACATCTCAGCAGGTAAATAATTAAACTGCATGCATGAAATTTATCACTTGATTATTACTAAATACAATTGCTTTACAGAACGGTTCTAGTCAATCTGGGAACACTTCATTTGGCATGTCCCCTCTGATTGGTTCACCATCGGTTATGCCCATTCTCTCTCCACCATCGTTACTAATGCCTACTATGAATCCACAAATGTTTAACTCTCCGAATAGTGAGTACATCCGCCGTTTTTATGTTAAAACAATAATAATACAGTTATAAAACAACGGATGAGAGCGTTCACATGATACAATGCGCGCTCCAATTTTCCTAGTTCATTTACTACCGCGTTTCGCCAGTCATTGGCCTGTCGTCACTAGTGCCGACATTACAGAAGCAACTTTTAGTGAACGTTTTAAATGACGTTCGATTTTACATTATTCACAGGTCTCAGCGTACCAGCTAACACGTCAAACACTACCAACGGGTCCAGTGACAGTATGTTAGCTTATCAGGCAAATCTTCACCAAGCGTTCTTACAGTCCGCTATGGCACAAAACATACAAATACAGCAACAAATATTAGCACAAAATCAGGCTCTACATCAGTTATTGCAACAGCAGCAACTTTTGCCACCGGTAGGGCTTTGCTTCTAAATTAATATTTTGAATACCAATAAGGACACATTTTTTTTCTTAAGATTTAGATACTTTAAATGTCATGAATGTGCTTTGTATTCAAAGATAACTTACAACATTAAAAACTAAAAAAATGTATAAATATTAAGTTTGAAATAAATAATTATCTCGACAAATATTTAAATAACATATGCAATTAATTATTTTGACTATATAAAATTGTATACAATTATTGAAATAAAAATTATGTGTATGATTTACATATAAAAAAACTTTAGAAATTTATAACTTCAAAAACAATACGGAAACGTAACAATGAATATTCTTGTTCCGCTTTCCGTTTCACTTTTGTCTAAAACCAAAATTGAAAACTTAACGGAAACGACAAATTAATTTACAGCTAACAGTTTTTTGATTACTATTCTTACTTTATATTGAATGAGTTGATAATATTTGCATGCGTTCATGATTAATTATGTAGCACACATGTTATTGTTGCCAGTTGTATTGATCAATAATAAAAAGTATATTAATGGTTTTCAAAAAAAAAAACATATTTAATACAAATATTGCCAATTAATTAAATTTTAATGTTATTTATAGTTATTACTTTAATTCTCTAAAAAGCAACTTTTTTTTTAAATTAAAATTGCAATCGGCATAATTCTAGGTTGGTCCTGAAAATACATCTGGCATATGGAATAATTCACCCCCAAAACACAAGTCTACACCTACTAATAAATCTCAAGTGATTATATTTATTTAAAGTTATAGTAAATTTCTGTTAATTTATACGAGACTTTGTTTTTAGGGACTTAAAACGGGCTCACCCCAATCTACGTTTACAAATGTATTGAGCGAACTAAAAAGTAGAAGATCATCAATGGAATCGAACAATGGAAAGGTAATAATATTATTACTTGAAAATAAAATTACTATGAATAATATAATGAAACTAACTTATTTATGAATATTTGATCGTATAAAAATTATTTGAACATATTTTTAGAGTTTAGTACCACCTCCTCCGCCTATGCCACCCCCACCAGATTTATGTGATCCCAGTGAAGTTAGACCATTTATGGATCCTTATGGTAGAGCTAAAACTGTAAGAATAGGTAAATGGAGATGGCCACCAGCAAGTGATGCTGTGAGTAATGGAGCACCAAGTGATATGAATGGCTTTCCCAACCACCAAAGCTTTTTGCAGTTTAAAATGTCTAAGCAACAAAATCAACAAAGACACAAGCAGTCGCAAGTAATTTATTTACAAAAATTCTTTCAGATAATTAAATAAATTATTCTACTATTGGGTTTATTTTTAATATTTTGTATAAAAAAAAATTAAGTTATTTGAAATCAATAATAAATTAACTAAATAAATATTTTTTTAAATAAGAAAATTCAAAATATGCTGTTACATATCCATAATTATAAATATACAGAATTTTTTCGTTTTTTTTTTAACAATAACAATATTTGAATTTTTGAACTTTGCAATAGAATGTTTTGAAAAATATTTTAATTATACATTAGATTCTACATATTTAAGCTGATTTCAATAGGATTATTAAACTTTATATTTACAGGATTCTAGCCAAGACGGTGATATAAACGGAGTTGAATGGGAAGAGTATGAGATACAGCAACCTGACCCTCCAAAACAATCAACACATAAAGAACAGTCAGAAATTCATAGATCATCCTATAAGTCTTTAGAAGTTGGAGCATCAAGACCAAGTCCTGGAAGTGTAGGAAAACTACGAATTAGTAATGAAATGAAACATAAATTGGAAATGGTCACTGCTAATCACAGTTTAAGATCTTCAACGAGTAAACCTAGACCCCAAGCTATAAATAATATGCCAGCTCCACCGACTGGAAAATTGGATTCTGATAGACGGTTGCTTTTGCAACAACAACTTGGTAAGTTTCTGTTGCAACAATACCTTAAACCTACCCTGTTTTTAAGATTATTATAATTCTACCAACATGACATGATAAAATTTAATATTTTTTTATTAGCAGTCTCTATAATTAATGGGTAAATATGTGATTTATTAGGTATAATTATAGTAACTATAAAAACAAGTTGCAATTTTGAGTCCTGTAATATGAATCATATTTTTGCTTGCGATTGCTTAAATATTTGACTAACTATCATTCTAAAATTTATATTTATTAAGAAAAACAATAATAATTTTATTTTAAAGCTGGCAGATGGGGTAGTGTAGACAGTGTTGATTCTAATAGTTTAGTCAAAGAAGATGCATCTGATATGCAGTCAAATAACGTCATACGTAGTCAAGTTGAAAGAATCGAAAATTCAGGATGGCGATTACCACCGCCACCAATAACCCCATCTAGATCTAATAGCTTTTATAATCAAAATATGTATGTTTTTTAATTAAATTTAGTTTTGTTTTATCATATAATGTTTACCCTAAAAAAATCTAAATTACATTACTTAGGAAAAAGTGCAATACTAGTCCACCTGCTCCTATTCAACCAGTAACGCGTGAATATGAACAAAATATATTCAGAAATTCAGGATCAAACAATTATTTAGATCAACATGAAATTGAAAAAACACCAGATTTCAACAGCCGCCCAGAACATAGAATACAATCTCCACAACACGAAGACACCCAAATAACTAAACTTTTACAATCACCTCCTAATGCCTTTTTCACATATAACCGAGTCCCGTGGAAATTAAATATCAGAAAAGAAGTAAGTTGTACATTAAATAAAATGTTATAATTTTTTAAATTTAATATAGTTTAATTTTTATAGGTTTTTACACCAAAAGAAACAATATCCAGTCCATTAGTTTTACATTTAATATTTTGTCAAGTAGTTTCTGATATGTTTAATAAATTTCACTCAGTTCATGGAAGAATTTCAGTTGATGAACGCGAAGAAATGTTGGATGTAAGTATATTTATATTATTATCAGACTTCAGCAATTTATAGATTTTGCATAACAATTACTCGTATTCTTGATTTAATAAATAATATTAAAGTAAATTTAATTTATGTTTTTATCAAATAAATGTTCACAGTAAATACATAAATTTATATAATTTTAGCTACTAGATAGATTTGGCGTAACAGCGAGTAATATGCAAACAGGACATCATAAAACGAGTACCAAAAGATCAATTGTTGAATTGGCTCGCTCGTGGCCATTATACTTTGCTAGAATATTTACAGTATCAGTATGTTTAATTATTATCTATTTACCATTTATTATACTTTAATTTCTTTAATTAAATGTCTTCATAGTGTGGATATCAACATAGAGAAGTGGAATGTTTAGCAATTACACACGCTGGCCTTCATTTACTTCGAAAAGACGAAAACCAGTACCAAATTTTACAAACATTGACGTAGGTTTGAAATTATATTGATTCATAAAATTACATTAACAACTGTACTTAATGATATAAAATTAAAAGGCATATTCATAATTGACAATTTAAATGACTATTTAGCTTTGAAGACATTGCTGATATTTCAATGGGTAAAGCTGGGGGTTCAGTCCAACTAACAGTCATGACTGGTGAAACTATTCCATTCCATTCAAATAGATCTAGACAAATACATTCGATGATAAGTTCATTTTTGAAAGACGCTGCACCCCTTGGACGACTTCCACGTCAAACGGTAAATCCAATTTTGAATAATAATAATAAATATTTTAATTTAAAAAATCGACAATATACATAAATATGTGTTCATTTTATAATTTTTACAGGAAGAAAAAATGCGTATTACAGACCATAAAGGTAAAACTTAATTTTATTAGATTTATTTTTTATAATACAACGAACAATTTGAATATTAAATCAAACTAATTTTACAATTTTATATTTTTTTTTTTTTTTTTTTATAAAAAAGATGTTAAATAAATTTTTAATAATAAAGTATAATTCAAGCTTTTTAGTTATATAGTTCGAATTGAAAAGTTACAGTTCATAATATCACATAATTAAAAATCCTATTTATAGTCATTTATTTTACTGTAAAATACAAAGTGATTTAGAAACTTCTTACACATAAAATTTTTACAACTTAAATCTACCGGATATTTTTATTTTTTTTACACTATTATTGTTAAAAGTCAGCCTGGTCTAATGGGTAGAAAATAATGTTTCAGTGCACAAAGTTCCGGGTTCGATCCTCCGGGTTTCAGCGAGATTTTTCTTGTGATTTTCTCATTAGTATGTTTCTAATGCAAGCCGGCTATAATACCCATCTCATCCATCATTGGTCTATCCAAGTATTATCTTTGACTCTTTAACATGTAAAAAAGGCCACCGTCCTCTGTAGCATGTTATGTTTGGAAAATAAAATAATGTATAACTGATCATCATTACACTCTTATTAAACAATTAAATTAATTGTAGCTGTTTGTTTTATAAAAAATTTGACCAGATCTTTAAAGATTTTTATTTGTTAATACATAGGTGTACCATGTGTATAACTTACGTGTAATAAATATTAAAATATTTATTGACCAAAAAATGAATTTCTTAAAATTTTAAAATTAAAAAAATATTTCAAAAATATTTTTAAGTTATAAAAAATAAATTAACGGACTAAGCACCCGTTCCGGAGTATAAATGGTTAAGAAAACCTCCTGCTTTAGGAAAGGCCGCTATGGCCCTTAATTGAGCCAATAAAGCACTAAAAATAATTAAATTCTGAAAAATAGATAAACAAAAAAGACAAAAACATCCCTATTTACTCTGTTAATTTCAAGCGATTCAATTCTAATTTGTATTAATAGTTAAAAAAATTTATTTCTCACGATAAAATGATAAACACAATTAATTTTTCTAGTTTACTCTAATCATGTTGGATTAATATTTTCTAAATATTATTAAAACTTAGTTTATATATATATGCATTATATATAGGGTGGCAACAAACAAACCCGAAGTATTCAAAATCATCAGTATCTTACAAACAAGATGATTCACTACCGTCAAATCATCATGTAATATTGATATTTAATTTTAATTTCATTAAAACAAAACTGCTTAATCCATAAATAATTATTTTCCTGTAGGCAGCAGACGACGGTAAACACTCGCTACTTCAATTTGCAATGTATAATTTCAGGCATAGTGAGAAGTAAGTCCTTATATAGTAGAAATTACATGTGAATTTAAACTTTCGAGAACTTATCTTTATTAAAAAAAATATGATTATGTGTAGATTCGATATGTTAAAATCTGCAAATGGAGAAATTAATGGATCATTAAAAGTTTTGCAAAATTCTAAAAAAAAGAGTGATGATTGGACATGGAAAGAACAGTTTGAAATGGTCAAATACACAAATATACCATTATCTGAGGGTCTTCTTAGATTAGATCCCGAATTGGATGTATTGGCTATTGAATGTTTTGAATGTATTATGCGATATATGGGTGATTTGCCGACTACTCCAGAGTTTACTGAAGTCAAATGCGTGTATACTATTTTAATGGTACGTGAAAACTTTTCCATTATTTATAGGATTATAATTTTAATAATAGGCAATTAACCATTTCAGCACTGCCATAAATTTGAAAGCTTGAGGGACGAAGTTTATTGTCAATTGATGAAACAGACTACCAATAATAAAACTGAGAGTTGCCAACGTGGATGGCGCTTACTCAGTATTGTTGCTGCCTATTTCACTTGTTCAGAAAATTTGAGACCATTTCTTCTAAAATATTTAGAAACTTCTGCTTATGACAAAAGAAGAGCTTTCCATGGTATTTAAAATTGATCAAAACAAACAGTTATACATATTTTTTTGTCTAAATCAAAAACATTTACTCGTTTTCCAGGAACTGCAAATGTCTGTTTACAGAACCTACGAAAAACATTAAGATATGGTGGTAGAAAAAATGTTCCAAGTGTGGAAGAAGTAACCGCAGTTTCGGCTGGTCGAAATTCAAAAAGACAACTGTATCGACTGCCGGGTGGTAGTGAAACAGTCGTGAACACTAAATCAACAACTGTAGTTGCTGATGTTATAGCTGGCATGTGTTCTCTTATAAATGTCAATGATCCGTTAGAAATGGAAGAATTCTCCCTATACTGTATTGTTGAAGGAGATGCATTTACAATGCCACTTGCAGCGGACGAATATATTTTGGATGTTACAACTGAACTACATAAAAATCAACAAGTAAGAGTGTTAAAACAAATTTATTAATTAATTTTTGTTTATGCTTTATTTAAATTTATAGGTGTTCTATTTGATATTCTGTCGATCGGTGTGGTATTTCCCATTACGTCTTGACAGTCAGTTATACATACAAGTATTGTTTAATCAAATAGCACCCGACTACCTGGAAGGATTGCTTCTAGTTTTACCCAATGAACATTTATCTCAAGATCATTTAGTACGTTAAATTTTGAAAAAAATTATTTAGAACTATCTTAAATATAAGTACAAAATAATAAATATTAGAGTGCAAACGAAATTTATATTATTTTTTAGTTTGAGGTATCAAGATTAGCGGCATTACTTCATCGTGCAGCTGATATGTTACACCCTCCCACTTTAAAAGAAACGAAATTTCTTTTACCAAAACCTGCGCTCACTCAACGAGATCTTAAACCCGCACAATGGGTACAAATGGTGCAAAACCATTGGCCACAAATTGAAGTACTTCATAATGTAGATGCTAAAGCCAAATTTTTAGGTATATAAAATTTATTTTTCATGTAGTAAAGTATTTGAAACAAATGTGTTAACTTTTGTATATTTTAGAAATATTAAGTAAGTGGACATTATTTGGGTCCAGCTTCTTTGCTGTGAAACGCAGTGGCGATCAACAAATATTAGCCTTAAATAGAACTGGAGTTCATTTTCTTCATATTGTTACCCACGTAATAAATATAAATATGTAAATAAGTATTTTTAATTCTGGTTTCTAATATTTTTAATTTGCTTTAGGAGACTTTATCGACAGTGCCATTTAGTGAGGTAATTTCTACAAGAAAAGTAAGAGCTGGCGAAGGTGCCACACTTTATTTAGAATTGAAATGTGGTAACTTATTCCAACAACGAGTAGCTAGATTACAAACCGATCAAGCACATGAGATCGCTAGACTTGTTAGACAATACATTACCATGCACAGACGTAAGTATATGATAGTATATTGATTATGTGTTAAATTTTCCATTGGATATAATATCTACTGATGTAGGATGTATACATAAAATATATATGGTATTTGTATTCATTACTATTGCAATTTTAAAATAAATAAATTTAAATATCTACATAAAACAAGCTCTATAATGTAATAAATATAAAATAATTTTTCAACCATTTATGTAAAAATTTTAATCGTTTGATTGATTTGGTTCTAGATAAAGTTGGTGTTCATTAACAAAACAATTCGTAAAATATAAAAAAGAAAATATTAAGTTTATTTTAAATGTAAGTTTCATTATATATAATTCATATGTTATGAGAATACATTAATACATATATAAATGAGTTAATTTAACGAATTGTTGGAAAAGTATGTAGTTATATGATTTTTGTTATTTTATAAATTATTTAATGTTTATAAAATCATTTCGTGATTCTGTTTATAAAAAATAAATAGGCCAATTAGTTATACGTTCAAACTAAATAATATTATAAATAAAGTGATTATTGATAAATAAAATAATGAATATTAATGTTTTTATTTTGAAGTGAATTTTACGTAGTGATATATATATATATATATATATTTTATGTATTTTTATTAGCATAATACTTGTTGATTTAAATTTTTTACCATTATATACTATAATAAACAAATATAATTAAAATTTAATGATCTAAAATGCTGTTTTTTTTTTTTATAAATCCCAGAATCCCCAAAATTCTTTACGAAAAATTAAATCTACTTATACTTATTAAAATAAGATTAGAGGAACTGTGTTTAATGTAATTTTAAGTTTATACTATCGAAATAGCAGATGCGACTTTTTGTTTATTATAAATAATAAATATAATGAACTATAAAAGTACTTTTACATGCGATTGATAGTTGGAGTTTATAATGATGTTATTATGTATTCCTCGAAATAAACAATACAATATTTTAGATATTTTATAGGCCATCTACATTTAAAATAATATGAAATAAATAATTATTACCTACTTATTCTAAATTTTTTATTAAAGGTTTTCTTATAACTACTATGAAAAATAATAAAAATTGAAATATAATGATAACATTATTTATTAACTATTAAAATGGAAAAAATATATATTTATTTCATTTAAATAATTTATTTTAGTTTTCAAAATACATGAAAATATTGTATTTTCATTTGATTATGCAAATTAGTTGTTAATAAAACAATACTCTAGCTATTATTATTATAATATGAAAGTATAGATCACACTAGTGTTTATTTTTAATGCATACTTCACCTAATTTAATAAAATTTTTGTAACTTTGTGGTTTTAATTTTAGTTACAAGTGAGGTGGACATATTGCCCATTCACTCTGACCTGTTGTTCCATTGTTTAAATCTCACACCGAATTGTCTTGATTCGGTTTACACGCCTAAGTGTTATTCCCGAAATGTAATTACTTTATACCTAACATTGTATTAAGGAAGGACAATCAAGTCACTTCCTGTGGATACCCAAAGAGTCCTATCTTTCTGGCAAAGTTTAGTATCTCTCTGGGTCTTTTGATATATTCTTTTTCGATAAAAGGTTTAATGAAGTAGTTTGATCTTAATGTGGATGAGGCTTCACATTCTTACATTATGTGAAATGAGTCTTTCTCTTCTACTTCACATTTCCTGCACAATGGTGATTCCGAGATTTATTGCGTAATAATGTTTAAACAAGTGACCATGTCCTGTCAATAAATGTTTATATGATGTGTAGTCATGCTAAAAAAGATCATATACTATAAATATTTTCACAATAAAGTAATCGAAAACAGGAATTTTTGTGAACGAATAATATGGGCAGTGTCACATCTAATTTTTTTTAAATTTCAAACCCCCCCTCCTAAATTTAATTTCTGTGTACGCCACTGTGGCCAACTGAGGTAACTTAAGAGAGGCAAGCCATCCCCTTTATTGATAACTAGTTATATAATACTTATGTATTATATATAAATATTCCTAAATCCTTAATAAGTACACAACCGTATTCTCTAATTAGTATCAATTTTAATTAACCTCGTTCAATTAAGCTAGGTAAGTCAGAGACAGTAAAAAACCCCTGTTGCTATTATTTGCAGGCTCTATCGAGTTAAAATTTTTTTAAATTTATCAGTGTGATTATATCTTATTATTGTCCTGTGAAACTTAAAATCCTAAAAAGTTTTTTTATTATAGTTAGAATATGTTTTCATATTACCAATTGTATAGGTCAATTTCTAACTTACAAGGAGAGGTTACAATGATGAGATCGCCGATTTTCAAAAAAATGTATGAATATAATCTTAATATAATATAAAGTTGCATTTTTTTAATAATATTTTAGAAATATACCTTTAAAATATTGTAAGAATATAATATTGGCTGTCAAAGTATATTCTGACAACATTGTGAGAATATTTCAAAATATTCTGGTTACATTCTAGAAACATTTTAATATCAAAAATAAACATTATAGAAATATTTCATTGCTATGTGGGTAGCAGTGGATCGGAGGTCATGATAAATATTTTAGATTGTTTCGGTACTACCAAGTACTTCCCGATTTTTCTATGTTGTATTCTGCACCAATTCTTAGGTAGCGCTTTAAGCGATTGCTCAGTGAGTTCTACCACTAGTTCTATCCCAACATAGATGTTCTCTACTTTATTTCCAGTTAAAAAGTCGGCCTTTACATTACCAGTGATACTATTGTGTCCTGGTGTCTATGGTAGTGTATCTCTATATTCTCGTTAGTGTTTCTAAACTTTCCCTGCATTTGAGGACAAGGTTTGAATTCACCTGATCGTTACAGAGTGCTTTCAGAGCCGCTTGACTATCACTTAAAATAGTCATTTTATTTTTCTTGTATACCAGCAGGTTCTGAGCCCCCACTAGTATCGCCATCATCTCTGCTTGAAAAATAGAAGGTGTTGTGCTCATCGACACGCTGATATTTATTTAAGGTTTTAGACCCCAAATTCCACCACTTACCTTTTGTAAGTCATGTGTTTAATATTCTATTCTCTACGTATAGTGATTTCCACTTTGTAGAGAATGGTATTCTTAAGAACCGGTTTGATATGGTCCAAGTGGTATTCTAAAATTCTCTGGACTGTCTCTTTTAGTATTTTACCATGTCGCTCTTCATAGTACAGATAACTATTGTGGAATCTTACTGCTGTGGCTTTGGCCTGAGCTTTAACCTCTAGATACAAAGAAGGTAATCCAATTAGTGCCTCTGATGAAACTGTTGGTGTAGTTCTTAATGCTCCAGTAATGACTATGCCAACCATTTCCTATATGTTACTAACTACTCAAAAAGTTTTTATTGTTCCATTAAAAATTAATTTCAAAAGAAATTATCTAATAAACGGCTATTTTAAAATTTTGAAAAAAAATTAAAAACAAAATGAGTACTTGTTCTAAAATTGTTATCGACCCATCAAACTTTTGCAAGAAAAGAACTAAAAAATAGCCGTTTTAAAACTAAAACAATAATTAAAAATCAAAGTTATTTTTTTTATTAATGATTAATTAATAAAAATTTGCTTTAAAAATAGTCTAAGAAGATAATAATTATCAAAAAAAATCAAAAGTTATAAGTGTTTTCAATTAATCTAATATATCTATATGTATTTGTGTGAATGAAAAGTCACACATTAACCCAGCAAACTATGAATATTATATATTTATGTTCATATTACCAATTAAAGAAAAAAAATTTAGTAATTATACATACATTTGGACGTATGTTTAAAAAAAAAATTTCAAAGTAAAAAATGTTGGAAAATTAATCTAATTCATTCAACTTATAATATTATGTATAAGTCGAAAGTCATCACAGAAACAAGTTATGAGCTGTTTAACCTTATTTAGTTTTGTGTGCTTGCATTGAAATTTCTTTTACTACACTAGTATAAATACCTACGAACATGTCTGGATGTACTCAAAGATATTGATCATAGTAAATAGAATTTGTTGATAAAATTTTCTTCGCTAAACATATTTATTTTTATTTAAAAAACTGACTGTAGTAAAATAAAAAATGAGAATTATTATGCGCTATGATACTATTTTTTTTTATTTTAGATTCAATGCAAAGATAGAAAAATAATAGATTTAATATGATGTGTTTATTTTCATTCATTTTTTTCGTGTCTGTTGGTAATTTTATTAATTTCTGACTAGACTGATTTCACTCAACAATACATCAAAATATCACAAATTATATCTAGTTAAATACCAACCTTAAAAATTAAAAAAACTGTCCCTCGTTTTTCGTAAACTGAGGAAATATCCCCGAAAATTACGATTTTTAAAATTGGTGAATTTCGAACATTCTTATTTTTACTTAAAACTGCTATTATATTTAAAAAATGAATGAATCATATAAATTTTTATAAATATCTTAAATATTTTTCTTTAAAAGGAATATTTTTTTTGTAAATCTTATTCAAAACTAAAAATGTTCCAGAAACTTTACTCTATATACTTTTGGTGAACATAAAAATATATGCAATATTCCCCAACCAACCCCCTCACCATTCTGAAATTATTTTCTGATTGTACTACTGCATTCATATGTAAATTATTTTTGCTACAGACACAATATACGAATAAACAGCATTATTAACTATTGTTACTACCTCTGTTGGATAATATTATTTTATTTTGTTACCACCGACAAAACGTTGTTTTTAATGTAAATAGTTAGCATAGGTATTATTGTATTTTATATAAACATCAGAAGTATATATATATATATATCAGCGCCCATGTAATTGTGTAAGAATAAGTAATTTAGTTATCCAGTTTTATTTAAATAATTCGAATTTTATGTTATTTTATAGCACAAAATTTACTTAAAGTAGACTATAATTTTCGTGAGATTTTTATTCATGATACTTTTATTATTATACCTTAGTGAATTCTATAACCAGTATAAAGTTGAACTCTGTAACAATTTAAAATTTAGACATAACTCGATTTTATTATATAGTGTATAAAGTAGTNGACATAACTCGATTTTATTATATAGTGTATAAAGTAGTGTAATATTCATTTTTTAGATAGTCTCTTTTTGAAATACTTTTATTTAACTAAATTTCTTTAACGAAAATTTAAAGAATACAATAGTAAATAGTTGTTGTATTGTTAGTTAAAATATTAATAACTAACATTTTTTTATTCTAAAAATAATGATAAATATTTTTGTTCTTTTTCCTTCAAAATTTAAATTAAAAAAAAATTATGCTTACTATAAATATATTTTATTCTTCATTCTTTCGTATGTGCATTAAAAGTGATAGTAAGATCACTTTTATCCATGAAGTCACTTTCTAGTTACTACAAATAATTTTACCTTAACCGATATTGTAAATAAATGTATACCATATTTTCAATATAAAAAACGATCATATAATATTTAGTTGCTTATTAATCTCATAATAATTTTAAGAATTTTGAACGTCATTTTATCATGAAATACAAATGTCTTTTAAATAATATTTTTCTATTTTATAACTCATGACATGTTTATTTTATATCTATATTTCACCC